TCATAATGGCTCTCATTTATCACGTGCTTAGTATATGTCCAACACTGTGTTGAGCACTGTACTTGCTTTGTGAGGTGAGTTCCATTGGTCCCATTTTAGGGCTGCAGAAAATGAGGCTCAGTAGTGGGAAGTGGACTCAAGGATGGACTCAAATAATCTCTTAAGATTTGGTCCGAGCCTGGATTTGAGCGACTGATACTGCATGCAAAATGCAGGGAAAGGTAGAACTATGACAAGTGGCAGAATTTATCACATGGGTAGCCATCCATATGGGTATCGCATACCTAACAACTCATAACTTAAAGCACTTTTTAATTTTTTTTTGAGAGGTTTTTTGCTATAGGGTGTATGCACTCACCAGAAAGACAGAGAGACAGAAAGCGAGAAATCACCCCCCACGGGGATGCCCACACCGCAGTCCCTTCTCCTCTATTCTCCTCTCAGGATCTGGGGCATTCACACACATGTGCCCGGTGTGAGTTTAAGCCACTGGGTCTGGGACTCGAACTGCAGTCAGCTACATAGGAATCCAGCAACAGTCATTACGTCAACTTCTGGTCCCTGACTTTTCAATTTTTTTACAGCATGTCTTAATCTACTAATTTCAGTCCTCTACATTTCAGCTTTTGCAGTTTTCCTTTTTTTTTTTAAGAATTAATTTTATTCATTCATTTATTTTAATTTGACCAGAGAGAGAGACAGAAAGAGAGCCACTAGGTTCGGGACTCAAACGGTGGTCAGTCATGTGGGAGTGTCCAGTGCCGTAACCAATTTGACCAGAGAGAGACAGAGTGAGAAAGAGAGAGAAAGTGGGAAAGCAAGCTACCAGGTTCGGAATTTGAACCATGGTTAGCCATGTGGGGGTCCAGTGCCTTTACCCACCATGCCATCTGTTGACCCCCGTGCTTTGGAAATTTTTTTAAAAAATTAACTGCCAGAGTATCTGCTCTCACCAAAAAGGAAGGGAGAGAGAGAAAGCACCCTGCCTGTGAGACTGGTCATGGCACAATTCTTTTCTGCATTTCTCCATTCTGTCGGAATTTTGGTAATCTGTTTTCCTCTGCAGTGTTGATGGGAACCATTTTCAGCATCCTGCTGGTGACCGTCATCCTTATGGCATTCTGTGTCTACAAGCCCATTCGGCGTCGCTGACAGCTGAGCACGCAATCCACAAGTATCTGGGAACAGGATAAGTTGTGTTATACACAAGCCAGTGAAGATACTGGAAACGGAAATTTCACATTTGGAAATGACCTTTGTCTGGACAGTTGGTAGATATGAAATAATTTAGGAAAAAAAAATCTACTAGCAGTTATTTTTTCCCTAACACCATAATGCAGATATTGGCCACCGGGTCTGCTTCTTACTGTTTCTTTTTGTAAGAAAAGGAAATTGTACTTGTTAAAAGAAAGGCCTGAAGCTCCAAAATGAAGTGATCCTGAAAAAGAAAACATGGTGTTTGTACGCATCACACCAGAAAGGATAATTAGTGCTTGATAGTAAGAGGAAGATGTAACATGTAGACACTGATGACTTAAGAACTTTGGAGGCACAGCAGGTTAGAAATCATAAGTATTTGTCATTACACTGATTGTTCTAGAGTCCTCTGGTTGCAAAGCAATGTCAGCTGTGGGGAACTTAAGCCATCTCTCCTCCCGTGTGTGTGGCTCAGCACACCACATCCCCACTGAAGTCAGGGTCACATCAGGTAGGCCTGTTACCATGTGTACTCTTGGTGTGCAGGGCTCTGGGGTTCGACTACAAACGTTACTAGTTGATGGGTCTAACAGTGACCTCCATCCTGCTCAGGCACACTGATATCCCTTAGAATGTACAGATGTCTTTGCAGCCCTCGGCCTATGGTAGCTTCTCAGCTTTAGAATTTAATATAGACCCAGCAGGAGCACTATTCAACTAGAGGTGGGAAAGGCGCAACCAAACAAGGCTGTGTTCACCATCTGGGCTGTGTGTGTTTACATGGATTTAATCTCAACTTTGAAGCTGCTATTAGTTTACACTGGTGGTAAATGGATTCTCCTCCTATTAATGATACTTATAAAGTGGTTATCAGTATTTATTTTAAAGGTGCTACACTTGATTTTTTGTTATTAAATTGAAATGCTTATCTTGTGCTCCTTTCAAGCCCAGCACTGATTTTTTTCTTTAACTTGCACTGAATGTGAAATAACTGATATGGGTTACTGTAACTGTTTGACTTAAGGATTTTGTTTGTAACATTATAACATTGAGCCATTGAAATGTGCACTGTTCTGTGCTTTTGAACAAAATGTCAATTAAAATTATAAATCCTAGTGTTGTTTTACTCCTAGTAATTGTTTCCCAGGGGTTTAAAATGCAGGTGTGTGTGTGTGCTTGGATCTAATCTAATCTTTTACAGAAGTAGTGTAAAGTGAAATTTTAAATTCGTATGTGAAATAACACTATTGCCCCAAGATTAGGTGTTGATTAAGCCATAATCAAACTCTCGAGCTGGGTCAGAGATCAGAAGACCCAGATTCAGATTCTTGTCTCAGCTCCAGTTACATACACCTGGAGCCTATTTCCTCATCTGTAAAATGGTGTTATACATACTTTTTTTTTTTTAAGAGATTTTTGCTATAGGATGCATGCTTTCTCAAGAGAGACAGAATGAGAAATCACCCCCTGCTCCCCAAGGGGATGGCCACACCACAGTCCCTTCTCCTTTCTCCTCTCAGGATTTTGGGCATGTACACACAGATGCCGGACATGAATTTCAAGCCTCCAGGTCCGGGACTTGAACCACAGTCAACCATGTGGGAGCCCAGTACCTTAACCACTATACCACCTGCTGGCCCCTACACTTAATTGTGAAGAACTAATGATGTGAGAACTACTGCAGATAAAACTGGAATCATCACTGTAGGCCTGTCTCATAGAATTTCGTGATATTGACTGGAGGAGGAGGAATGGGTAGGACCTCAAGAGACTCTGTCACTGACAGTCCCAGGAGCTCACATCTCCCCTGACACACTCTGTGTTTACATATCCCACCACAATAATTATTGCCATTTTTAGGATTTCGAAACATTTACTGTTTGCTCAATAATACAAATGGTGGCTCATGTTCCAGTTTTCAGGGGGTAGGGGAGGGTACTAGCAATATTATTATCCCACATAAAAACCCAGCCCATATCTTCATTTATGTTATTATCTGTCCTGTATGAGATTTCAAAGTAACATAAAAAGAGGGACTGGCCCAATGGCCTGGTGGTTGGGGGACCCACATCCCATGTAGCTGACTGGTTCAAGTCCAGCCCTGGTGGCTTGGGGGATGAGTCACATCACAATCCATTCTGTTTCTCCATTCGCGATTTTGGGTGTGCACACGTACACATGTCTGGCATATCTCAAGCTGACAGAGTCAAGACTCAAACCATATAATTCGTCATTTAAGATCCAGCTCATGTAAACACCAGGTCACAGGCTGGTTCAGGAACTTTGTTACACTTACTGGGTCACTGGAAAAGTCATGATGCAGTTTTGCATAGAAAAATAGGTCATGACTGTTCCCATGACCCAATAGTTCCTAGCACTGTATGACATGCTGAAGTTGTTGTTTCTGCTGATACTGGGTGACTCAAGCTTTAATGAACCCAGCCATAGACTATTCTGATTTTGGTTAGATAATCTATAGTTACCATGTCTCTTGACCTAATACACTTTCTTCCTAGTGTTCTTATGGTTCATGGTGTAGAAATTTACCTTCAGCAAAGCTGTTCCTTCACATCTTCCTGGAAATACCAAAACCATTTCTAGACCCCATGTTACTGGCCACCACCATTTTTGTTTTAACCAATAAATTTAAGTGTAGGATGAGTCTGGAAGCCCTGGTTACCATCTAAATTTCTAAAAACATTCTCGCAAAGCTTTGAAATACACTATCATTCACTGAAAGATTTGCAGCTGGCTTGGTTTGGCTTCCCCCTCCCCTTTTCTTTTTTTTTTATTTTTTTAACATTTTTGTCACAGGGTGTGTGTGCTCACTGGAGAAAGACAGAGACAGAAAAGTGAGAAGTCACCCTCTGGGAGAATGCTCATACCACAGTCCCTTTTCCCCCATTCTCTTGGGATTTTGGGTGCATACACACAGACATATCCACTTCTAGGAGCAGCCCCAACACTAGCTTTTGTTTCCACTTGGAACAAGTAGCATGGGATGTGGGCTGTGGAACCTGGGCAGGAAGGCAAGAGGAGCCTGCCACCTTTGTAATAGTATGCAGGTGAGCGCTGTGAAGGCGTTCTAGAATTCTAGGCAGCATCACAGGAAGTATGGATGCTGTGGTTCAAATGTATCCCCCCCAAATTCGTGTGATATTCAGTTGTGATGGTATTGAGAAGGTGAAAACTTAATCTGTGGGATTAAGGGGTGGGGCTCTTTTTTTTTTTTTTTTGGAGAGGATTTTTCGCTATAGGGTGCGTGCGCTCGCCAGACAGAGAGAGACAGAGAGACAGAAAGCGAGAAATCACCCCCCAGGGGGGATGGTCATGCCACAATCCCTTCTCCTCCATTCTCCTCTCGGGATCTTGGGCACTCACACACACGTGCCCGGCGTGAGTTTTAAGCCACCGGGTCTGGGACGCGAACCGTGGTCGACTACGTGGGAGTCCAGCGACATAGCCATTATGCTAACTGCTGGTTCCCAAGGGGTGGGGCTTTTGAGAGGAGATCAGGATTCAGGTCATCAGGGTGGAGTCCCCATGATTGAATCCTGAGAGAATATTTCACCATGGGATGCCCTGCACCCCTTGGGACTCTGGGGAGCCCCCACCAACAAGCAGACATTCATCAGATGTGACCTCTTGACCTTGGACCTCCAAACAAGGAGTAAACAAGCCTCTGTTCTTTATAAATCACCATTTCAAGTATTATAGTTCCTAAGCAACAGAATGAATGCAAACAGTGGGTGCAACCAGTCACTGGAACAAAATAATGTGGAAAGAAAAGACAACTCCAAGAATTCTTCAAATGTTGTATGAGCACCCTCTAAGGAAGCAGTCTTTATTTGCATTTTAAGAGTGAACACATGAAAAATGCTGCAACAGGTTGACACAGTGCTCAGTCCCTTTTTAAGTGACTTCCTAGGGAGAAAGTCCAAGACTTTGGGAAGCAGAACAATGGAATGCGAACACAGACATCACCTGTGATTCACCTTAGTGAGTAAACAACATGGCCTAACTGCAGCCATGCCGAAAAAGCGTCTTCGCTCGTGGTAAACGCCAAGTAGACGAGACGTTGAGCTGTGTGTAATGAAACGTGGTATTGCCTGTACTGGCCTCATGTGCAGAAGAGAGTCTTGGTCAGACCATGACAACAAAGGCAGACGGTTATATGGAATTCCAAGCACAATTCTTGTGTCTAGGAACATTTTACTGGCAATACTAACTGTATAATACAGACGTTAACTGGAACTGCAGTTTGTTTCTCTTCCTATCCCAAAACAAACACAACAGAGGAAATAGATGCAAAACAGAGGAGAACATTGTTTACCAGGTTATTTCAGTGCAGCCTATGGGGATGAATACACGCTCCAGAGTGAGGACAGCCCTCCTCTGTGTTCCCCAGGCTTTGGTATGCTGTGTGATAGTATTTACAGAAGGGTTAGACAAAATAGTTAACTACTAAAGGTATCCAAAAAAGGCCTGAGAAAATCCGGTTAAAATGTATAACCTTGTATTGCTACTGATGGGAGTAGTCACTTCTATATCTTTTAAAAATAATAAAAAGATTCTGTTAAAAAATATATTTATCCAGAAAGATGTTGATTTGAACTCTAAAAAGCAACGTGGAATTAACATTTTCCCTTTTGAATGGAGAGCCTTGGAGCTCAGTTACAAGCTCCTTTTCTGATTTTAAACCATCCCTCCCTCTTAGGTGAGACTAGAGCATGCAGTGGTGTTCTAGGCTTCTATGTGGAAATCCTTCTCTAGAGCAAGCACTGAACACATAGTGGTTTGGTTCTAACGCTGTTCCAGTCTTTTGGCCTGCTTGCCCACTTCAGAAACAAGCCCCAGGTCCCCCTAGCTGCTCCCTCAGGGACAGAATTAGCTGCCTTTGATTTAGCCTGGAGGATCCTGCTCTCAAAGGAACTGCCTTTACAAATTCAAATCAGATCCCTCAACAAGTGGAACGAGGTGGTTCTAAGCTATTAGTAATTTTTAAGGCTAAGGCAACATCCGTGGTCATTTGTATATCTTAATTTGATGCAAATAGTTCACCTTAATCTAAAATAGATCCTATACATAACTCCTCTTTAACTTGAGCTGGGGGGTGGAAGAGATGGAACAGGTGGAGATGGAGGAGGAATAATGACAGTGTCCTAGAAACCCTGTGCTGTACAAAGGTAAAAATAAAGAGTAGATCGGCACAGATTACCCATTTCTTTGGTGAACAATAAAGTCTCTCAGATTCTCAGAAACCACACTCTACAAAGGCTGTTGCTGCTCTCAAATAGAAAAGCACCCTGACTCTGCAATAACTTGTTTTGTTATCACTCCTTGATAAAAATGTATCTACAAACCTGCAGGGATTTTTTTTCCCCCTAAAGCTGGTAGTAAAAATGTGACCTGCAAGCCAATACAAATAATGGAAAGTGACGATGCTCTCTCCGCCTTAGCCTAGAGATGCGGCCTGCCAATCCCCGACCACCTCTCCTCTCCAGGGAGCTTCCTGGATGGGCCTGAGTGTCCCCAGTCCTGCACACCTCATGCAAAGAAGAGGCAGCGGCTGTCTGCTGCATATACGTGAGGTGTAATTCCTTGGCCCCAGGGCCCTGGTTGATGCAGAGCTTGCGTGTAGCCCAGAGCCTCTGTTTTGTGCAGCCTGTGGGTGGAAAGATCTATTTCTCAGTGAGTGACAGCTGTAGGACTTGCTGGAGTTCTGCCTCCTCCTCCTGGAGCCGGAGCTCCCGTTCCTCCAGCTCTTTGGCAGAGAGCTCCATGGCCAGCTGCAAGTCGCTATCAAAACGGCTCATCTCACTTGGGGCACTGGGACACAGGCCTTCAGTGCTGGTGAGGAGGCTCTCCTGGATGGCTCTGGGTTGGAAAACAGGAAGAAAGAAACAATCGTTTTTGTCATCATGGTGGCACCAGCAACCACGTTTTCTAACCGCTTACCCAAATGTGTACTATTCCGGGTATTTGATATGCATGATGCCATTTAACCCCCACAACTCTGATGGTGTAGGTGCATATAAGTGAGAATTGATGCTCAGAGGACTTGAGAAAACTGCCCAAGGTCATCTAGTTGCTGAGTGATAAGGCTGGGAATTGAACCTATTTTAAAGTGAAACTCAGGTTCTTCATAAATGGGCCATCACATCAGGCTACTTCAAAACCTTCATGGGAAAATGGAATTAAAATAGTTTAGGATCAGCAGATGGGGTGGTGGTTAAACTGTTGGCTCTCACATGACTGACTACACGATGTGAGTCCTGGACGAGATGGCTTTAAAAACACGCTGGGCATATGTGCATGCATGTCCAAAATCCTAAGGGGAGAATAGAGGAGAAGGGATTATGGTGTAGCCATCCCTCTTCGAGGGTTATTTCCTTGCTTTCCCTTTCTGTATCTCCAGAGAGCGCACACACACTATAGCAAATTTTAAAATAATTTTAAAAGGATAAAAGTGGCCACCAAGTGGCATGGTGGTTAAGGCATTGGATTCCTACATGGCTAACCATGGTTCAAATCCAGGACCTGGGAGTTAGAAAAATCACACCAGGTGTATGTATAAAATCTTGAGAAGAAAGGATTGCAGTGTGGTCATCTCCCCTGGGGGTGATTTCTCATTTTCCTGTCTCTCTCTAGGAAGCACATGGGCCCTAGGGTAAAAATTAAAAAAATAAATAAATAAATAAATAAATAAAATGAGTTTATTTTTTTCTCATAATATGCATTTTCTATTAACTTTCTCATGACCCCTCATACATGCCTTACATAAAGGAAAATACTTAGTAAAATACATGTTTGAATTTCTTCCATTAAAAAAAGATACTCTAATCTGTTGCTCTTCTCCAAAGTGTCATCATCTTTAAAATTTATACAGTACTTCTCACTAACGGCATCTACCCTTCCATGAAGATCAAATCAGTCAGAAAACATTTACTGTGGGCTGTGGGCTTTGCCTGTGAGCTAACAGCGGTTCTACCACCCAGTCGTAGAAACTTGTTATCAAGAGTTTAGAGCTATTTTGGTAAGTAACTGCCACAAGAGGAAGCAGGAGAGCTAAAGCTTTATCAAGTCTCTCCTGCTAAGTGCAGTGCCATGCATCTGCCTGCAGACAGAATGCACTGTGTGTGTTGGCCCACTGACCGGGTCTGTGGTGCTCTGCATTTGCCCGTGTACTAAGCGCCTGTGTTTACCTCCATTTAATCATCAAGTGTCATGTCAGTTACCTCTCATACTGGGCATCATAGACATGTGTCTGGCTGATCCCTCCATTCGAAGCTGGTCCTGAAAGATCCTAGCAAAAGCAAACGTGATGAACATGAATCCTTCTTAGAAGGAACAGGTGTCATACTGATGAGGAAATCAAAGCAGCAAGAACAGAGTTAAAGATATATTATTATTTATAAAAATACTTAATATTGATAGTGCTGAAAAACTGATGGAGACTTGAGTTACCTCAAAAACACCACCTAGGGGCTGGCAGGTGGCATGGTGGTTAAGGCACTGGACTTGCACATGGCTAACTGCAGTTCAAGTCCCAGACCTAGTGGCTTGCTTTCTCTCTATACATATGGGAAAATTAAAAATAGTAATAACAGGGGGACCAGCAGGTGGCGTGGCTAAGGGTGCTGGACTCCCACATGGCTGACTGTGGTTCACGTCCCAAATCTGGCAGCTTGCTTTCTCACTTTCTCTTTCTTTTTCTTTCACTCTGTCCCTCTCTGGTCAAATTAAAATTAATTAATTAAGATAAATAAAATGGTTCTTTTTAAAAATATATAATAATAGAGACCAGCAGATGGAATAATGGTTACATCATTGGACTCCCATATAGTTGACTGCAGTTCGAGTCCTGGACCCAGTGGCTTGAAACACACGCAGGGCACATGTGCATATGTGCCCAAAATCCCGAGACTGCAGCATAGCCAACCCCCACTGTGGGATGATTTCTTGCTTTCTCTCTGGTAAGCTTACACCCCCTATAGCAGAAAATCTCTCAAAAAAAAAATCATAAAAAAATAAAATTAATTAAATAATTATGTAAACAAACAAAAAACACCTAAATGCTAGGTACACCTCCCTGACTCAAAGCCACAACCTTCTAATACCTTACAGAAAATCGATCTATTAAAACCAGGTAATTCAAAGGTGTAATTCAGTATTTGTCGTGTTTGACTTTAGCTACTCCGCATGTCAAAATTTACAGTCTACAAGGTTTATATAGATACTGGGGGGGAGGGGGCAGCTAAGCTTACTTACACAGGAAAAAGGAACATATACTGGGCTGACAGCAATGTTTGGGTGGGTCTTCTCCCAGGAGGCCTCCCAGGGCTGACAGCAGTGTTTGGGTAGGTCTTCTCCCAGGAGGCCTCCCAGAAGGAATATACCTCAGAAAATTGAATGGGTTTGGGCATGGTCCATGTGGCAGCATTACCCAAGCACTAAGACTTAAAAATAGATCCAGACTAAAACACTGAGCCAATTGGGATGTTCGAGTGTGGGTACTGTTCTTAAAGCTTAGCGGCCCCATGAGGGCAGGGGCAGGGCTGCTTAACCAGAGAATTCCCAATGCCTGGCGTAAAGCAGGAACTCTGAGTGATAGAAGGAAAGAAGAAACCAATGAACAAACAAATGGATGGCAGTAGCCCAGGAGACACGAGAGAGTGGTAGAGGCAGACCAGACCCCACCCTAGTACAGCCGGGAGCCATCTGAGGTAGGTGACAGAAAAAGCCGATGTTGGAGAAGGACCTCAAGCCTCAGACTATCCCAGATAGGTGAGGCCTGGAGGGAGAATTGTAGAAGACGACGTAAGCTCTACTTTTCACTAGAGACTCAGAACTTAAGATGATGCCCCTTATAAAATAATTCAACACTGGAGTAAAAGAACTGGCACAGAAGGGCCCAGCTGCCATGGTGCAGTAGTAATGCAAGTGCCCTGCAAGGCTAGAAGCCATAGGGCTGACCAAGAGTTTGGATCCCCAAGTTGTCTTGAAAACATACAGGGCATGTGCATGGGCACCCAGGAAGGATCCTGAGGATCTGGACAGTTAGGCAAAAGAGATCCCAGCATGATATGATTCTGTCAGGGGTGCATCTCTCTCCTGCATGCGCTCACTATCATTAAAAGAAAAAAAATCTGCACACAGAATCAACAACCTTTTTCATCACTAAGCAACTACAACATGATGTTTGATTCCTTGGAGAGGGAATTGGATTAAAATCCACATCACTACCTTCACAATACGACAGTGTAAATTATCAACAGCATGAACTTAGTGGATCACTACTAGAAAATTATGAAGTATACCTCCAAAAATACCCAATTATTAGCTACATGGGTGAAGATGAGGAAACAAAGTAAATACAAGAATATACTGCCCGGGATTAAGCAAATGGTCTCTATAACAAGCTTTTACAAAAGCACAAATGCATAAAACATATCTATGTAAATACCGTGATTGTTTGAAATTTGTTCTTATAGTAAGTCTTTTTTTTTTTTTTTTTTTTTTTAAGAATTGTTTTTTTTGGGACCAGCAGTTG